GCCGGAGAGGTAAGGAACCAACAGTCTGCACACACAAAAAGCGATCTGTAAAACTGATGCACACGCAATACTTTGGTCCTGGAATAAAGCCACAGTCCATAAATTGACAATCAACCAGGTCTGTCTGCCGGGGTTAAAAGCTGGTGAACACAAACAACAATAATTCTGTGAATCTCTCATGTACATCCTTGCTTTGCCTTCACAACTAGCTGTCTCTACTTTAACAGTACAATACACACAGTTAAAGCTCATATTCTCGTTGCTTCCTAAAAGTGTTTTTAAAGTGATCAGATCACTGGGCTCATCTTGAACAACCGATTCCTCTACACGTGGTCTTCAATCACCTAACAAGAATATTATTATCTTATGCTTACATCTACAATCAGATATCATCATCATCATCATCGGGTGCTTTGCCAACTGGCGTGGGCGATCATGCCTCTCCACAATCTGCGATCTCCTGCAGCATGTATTAGTTCGTGTGCTGACACACCTTCATGCCATGCAACAAGACTGTCAAGAATCTCATCTCGTTGTCTTTCTCTATCCCTCCTTCCACAGATCTTTCCAGTGGTCACAAGATGTTTCATTTTCTCTTCTCTTATAACATGGCCGAAAAATGATGTCTGTCTCCTTCTGGTGTCTGTGATTAGTTGACTTCGGGCTCCTGTCTCTTCAAAACCTCTTGGCTGCTCTTTTCTGGCTGCCCAACGTATTTTATGCATTCTTATGCAAAAACACATCTTTGAGGCCTCAAGAAATTGTTTTACATGCCTACCGATTGTCAAGGACTCACAGCAATATATTAAAACTGGATGTATGTAGAAAGCAAGAATTCTTTTTTCTAACCTTCTATTGCCCGTCTCTCTAGCTTATTTGGCCAAACCGCATTGCGCGGTGAGCAGGTGACGAACTCCTGGTGGTCCGGGTTCATTCTAGGGGGTAGGCAGAAAAGTCACATTTCTCACAGATTTACGGTATTTACAATGGAATCAAGGCCGAAAGGTTGCGATATCCATAATACCGAGCCTAAGGGTTCACAACTCATAGCTTCTGGATATTAAAACAAACAAACAACTAACCTTCAATGACAAAGATACTTTGCATAGGATGTTCTTCATTTCTTTAAAATGCAGTTTTTGTCAGCCCTATTCTGTTTTTTATCTCAGTAATGCATCATCCACCTGATGTTATCAATGTTCCCAGATACTTAAATTGCTGTACTTGTGCCCAAACAAAACCAAAAAAAATTCATCGACTTTTGTTTACACATCTTCTATATTAATAAAAATGTTAATTTTTCGATGATGTGAGCTAAAAACTCGAAAACTACTGAACCGATTGCTTTCAAATTTGCACACAACGTTTACTTTGACTGCAAGCGTGATTGTTTGTCAGAAAAAGCACAAACCACGAACGACGTAGCTTTAGCAACCGCCAAATCATTTTTTGTTTCGTTGCTGGCCCGGATTTGTTTTTATGTGATCGGCCATATTTGACTGCTGAGCTCTTATTGAACTTTGCATTATTATATAATTTCATTTCCACTATGTGCTTGAGTGTTTGGTAGCGTAGTTGTTAACTATTCTGCCTATCATGCAGGTGTCCCGCGTTCGATTTCCCGCTAGGTGCTGCGATAGTGGCGACGTGATGCTCAATGGTCATGTCAAGGGTAATCTTTGTTCGCCCTCGAGAGAGCCGTTGGCACGTTGTGTTGTAGTTTACAGCTAGGCTGCGATATCTGGCCTAAACTCTTCAGTCGTTGGTAGTGAAGTTGTAAGTACGTCATCCTTCACTCGGGTGACTGGTGTTCGATTCCCTGCTGGGTGATAATTGTTCTTTTTCCTCTAAAAGGGTGATTGCCACTATGTATTGTGGTTTACAGCTAGGCTGCGATATCTGCGCCTTTTGCCCAAAGACATCCGATTTCAGTCAAGTCCTAACTAGTATCCCCGCGACGCTTCTTAATCAAAAACTATTCGGTGATGACGGAAACTGTTAACTAAGACAGATTACAGTCCAGTTTAGTTTTGGTGGACACGGATGCCAAGGTCAGTTAAAAATCGTTCCCTTGGAGAGGGAGAGATGACAGGTGCGTGGTATTTTACTTCCCTATTCGTGAGTATAGTGTACTTTTCACTGTGGGTTCCATCACTATTTACGTGATAAACTCCTCTTTTCTACACCGACCTACACCGACTGTAGTGACAGATTTTGTTGTTGTTGTTGTCATTGTGGTGGTTGTTGTGGTTGCAGTAGTACTGGTACTGGATGGGTGATGTGGTAGCTGTTACACTGGCTACATTTACTTCTCTGTACTTGTCTCCCCCCCCCCCCCCCCCCCCCCCCCCCCCCAAAAAAAAAAAACCATTGACATTTATTACAGATTTTGGAATAATTATTTTCGTTGATACCACAATTACTTCTGTCTGCGCACTATTCAAACTGAGGCCCATTCGTCCACTGTCGTGTATAAAAAATGTATTAAAAAAAAAACACACACACAATCACAATGTCAAATGTACGCTGAAATTTTACTTCACAAAATGTAGTACAGAATAGTAAACATTTAAAAACATTTCATGTTGTGCATCCTTCAGTCAGTCAGTCTGTGGTAGCTAATACCTAGGAATGAAAGTATTCTTAGTTTTATAACAAGTAACTAAACTTGTAAATTGTCACTGACAGCTTAGTTATTCCATGAAAGCGGCATTATCTTTTACCCCCCCCCCCCCCCCCCCCAAATGTTCCATGTTGTCAGCATTAAAGCAGCTACTTGTCTCACTAAAGCTGTACTAAACAGACGTTCACTTGGTACGCTCGTAGGTGGTGCACAAAGATAACGCTTAACAGTATGAACAAAGATGGGAAATGTTGATGTTTATTTGCCACCAGTCTAGAAACGGAGGTAAGGTAACCACTATTCGTATTCGGCCCGTCCGCAACTATTCGGCCGAACACCGAATAGTTATTAGGTCCACTATTTGGCCCCGAAGCAAATACGAAGCGAATATTCGGTACAGCCCTAATATATATATATATATATATATATATATATATATATATATATATATATATATATATATATATATATATATATATATATACATATATCTGGTAATCTGGTAATCATAGTTACAGCTTCATAGCAAACGGGTCACCCCATAGTTGCTCCGCTTCTGTGCCAACGAAAAACACACTTAGCTCACAGTGTCACACCATGCACTCAACTCAGAAGCTGGGCGACGAAACTATATGCTTCCAGTCTACAAATGGAGCAAAAATGAGACGGCCACCGCCTAGCAAAAGTAAAAAAAAAAAAAAACCTAATTTGCCACGGCTTAAAAAAGAAATTGGCCGTGCCTAGCGTCCATTTTGACCTGAAGCATTATGTGAGGGTTAATAAATGGTCGCCCCAGCAGTACCCTCACTATTAGCTGGGGAAGGGACTTGGGACACTACATCCATCAGCAGGCGTCGTCCCTACAACAACCTGACTGCCTTCGTTAACCACTGTTCACCCAACAGCCATGCAGTTCTTTGGCACGAAGGAGACACCTTGAACTTGGGTTTCCTAATGCCGACTTCCTACAAAATGTTATTTTGTGTTTTGTTTTCACAATCAACTTCACTGCACATTGGGCACACCTATGCGTGCGCAGTCCTCCAAAGCAGCAGCCACTCCAAAGTACTTCCACTAATTGTCCCCATGGTTATATTGTCTCCTTTCTCGACCTCGAAGACGGCAACGACGTGCTTCACTATGCTTAACTCCCATGTCACGCAATCGTGTTAGTGTCAGGGATTCGTCATTATCCACCACCCCAGTACGTACACCGTTGACGATATCTACGCTGTCCATGCTTTTTCCAGCAATCATCAGTGAAGTGCTTGCCAGTTGGTCCGCTCGCTCATTTCCCTTTACGCCCGCATGACCTGGTGTGTAGATCCAGGTTACGGAAGTTAAGTGTGATTTCCGAATGCTTTCTATCCATTCAGAACGCATACTGCCTGTTGATATCTTCTGAAGCAATTACTGCTTGTGTGGCTCTTTGCTCGAATACCCATGCTAATGCTCTATAAGCAGCGGCTATTTCCACGGTCATGCTTGACGTGGTTGTCTGGTAAGCGCCGATGTCCTCATGTATTGTTTTCCCCCTTCTTTGCGCTGTGTATGCCCATGCTGACCTTGATCCGCGCTTCACGGATCCATCTGTGTAGATGATAATATCTTCTGGGTCTGAATGCTGATCTATCAGTTCCCTTACTTCTATGTCTATGGCCGCAGGGATCTGACCCCGACAGTACCTTCCGAGTGTTATGACAACCTTAGAGATGCCATGCATGTCTACTGGTGTATTCATCCATTCTTGTTTGTGCCTGATAACGTCTAGGTCACATACCCGCTGGATCAAATCCTCAGCCTTTGCCATCCAAGAGCGGCCTCTTTTGAGATGCGTTCCTTTTGTGTCGTATATAGCTTTGTGTAATGGGTGGTTAACGTCTGCCGATACCCTCATGTAAGCCTTGACTTGTGCCACTTTGTATCTGCTAGTCATCGTCGGCAAACACAGGACATAACGCATGGCGTTGCAGGAGGTATCTTTTGTGCAGCCTAATTTGGGTCTCATGGCCTAATTTTGTACTCGGTCCAGTCTTTCTAGCTGGGTTTTGCTGACAGTGAGGAGGCCAAGACCATAGTCAATGACGCTAAGCACAAGCCCTTGATAGAGAAGGAAATGTAGGCGTTGTTCAATAGCTAGCATCTTGAGTGCTGTCAGATCTTTTCTGGCTCTAAGTATGACGTTGTCTACGTGGCATTTGTATGACAAGCATCTGTCAAATGTCATGCCCAGGGTTTTCATGGTGTCCGTTCTCTCGATGTCCAAACCACATATGCTTACGACTGGCGTTGGTGTACTGACGATGTGAGTATTTAGAGAGAACCAAGTTAAGGAGGCTTTGGACGGGTTCACTTGAGCTCTTGATTCCTGGCACCACTCACTAAGTCTGTCTAGTTCGTGATGTAGTGTGATTGTAATGTCCTGCCTGTTTTTACCTCGACGGTAAACAAGGATATCATCTGCATACGATATATGTATATATATATATATATATATATATATATATATATATATATATATATATATATATATATATATATATATATATATATATATATTTATATGTATATATATATATATATATATATATATATATATATATATGTGTGTGTGTGTGTGTGTGCGTGTGTGTGTGTGTGCATATATTATTTTGTAAATTGAACAGAACAAATTGTTTAACCAAATTGTTCTTTGCTTCTGACTCACTTTCACAGACTCTATTAAAAATTTCCATGTTTGTCTGTGTGTCTTTGTTTGTCAAGGGTATCAGTTACACATAAGGGTCAGTTTGACCACATTTTAATTAACCTCTGTTGCTGCGGGTATTTACAAAGGTGATGTTTTAACAACTGTCCGCAGGAATACCTTCTCCGACCCAGAGACAACACTTGTCCAGTTCAGAGATAGGGTTCGTTGCAATCATCGTGTCTGTAGTCACAGTGTGTAGCCTACTAGTGGCCGCTATCCTCATGTTTTGTGTGCTGAAAAAGCAGGGTTTGAATCCAGAAGATGAAAGACAAGACAGCGCAATTCCTGAGGTATCAACTTTCATTTGTTGAGAAGACATTGTTTATGTTTCTCAATGAGTGAGCCATGATATTGATCACAGTTCTTCTTCTTCTTTTTTCTTCTTCTTCTTCTTCTTCTTCTTCTTCTTCTTCTTCTTCTTCTTCTTCTTCTTCTTCTTCTTCTTCTTCTTCTTCTTCTTCTTCTTCTTCTTCTTCTCCTTTATCTTCTTCTTCTTTTTAAATTCACTGACTTCAAGGTCCTCCACCGTTCCCATTTCTCGGAAGACATTAATAATAGCAGCATGATTCTTAGGTTGACCGTCTATAGTGAAAGCGAATACAGCCAACATTTCAGCTTTCATAAATTCAAAATATTTAAACATCTAGTATCAATTTTCAAATCAGAGAAACTGAAAACTAACACCACTATGGTAATAAAAATAGATAATAGTTTCTTGTTATCCATATTGACATCTCAACATATCAGCATGATCCATTTGTGCCCCATGCTCCGATGCAACAGACATTTCCATGTTTTTATGCTCACCTGTCCACAAGAAGTTGTTTGACACTTGTCTTTGTATGTGTGTGTGCGCGCGTGAGTGCGTGCGTGTGTGTGTGTGTTTAATCGTAACCGGTGTTTACATATATATATATATATATATATATATACATTTCTATATCATCGTCATCATCATCATCATGTAGCTTGTCCTTTGCAGAAAGTCACTCTCATCACGGTCAGCTTGAACAAAAAACTCCGCCTCTCGCCAGTTCTCCCAGCTCGTGTACTTTCATACTCAAGGAGTCACTTATATCCTGTGCTCGTCTTCGTGGTATTTGGCCTCTGTCCCTCCTTCCTGGTACCATGCCTTCTGCCATGTTTTTTTTTTTCCAATCCGTCCTAGCGCTTGATATGACCAAAATATTTTAGCTTCTGAGACAGGATGTTATTTATTAGCCAATCTTCCTTGCTGTTCAGATCTTTCAAGATGTCAGTATTTCTCCTCTTCTTTGTCCAAGATATTTTGAGAATTTTTCAATAGAATTTAAGCTCAGAAGCCCCTATTTTCTTTCGTAAGGACTGGGAGATAGTCCATGACTCACATCTGTTTTTTCGCTATAGGGAAAATGCATGCTCTCAAAATTCTAATGTCGATCTTGTTGCTAGGGCCTCGCCAGAGACATTATTTTGAATCTTTGCATTACTATGGCCATCTTCTTTTTAATTTATGTCAGACAGTCCCCGTTACTATTTATAATAGAGCCTAGATATTAAAAGTTTGTGACATTTTCAATTTATTTATCATTTATTATTTTTTTTGGGTGACAGCCAGTTTTATCTGTGGATATTATTTTCGTTTTCTTTTATTTCAAGAGTAGATTCTTATCTTCACTGTGCTTTTAGACAGACAATATTAAATTTTCTGTTCCCTTTACGCTGTTCGAAAGGAGTACTGTGTCATCTGCCTAGCGAAGTTCTGGAACAGGGTTGCCACCAATTTTGATCGGGTCATAACTGTCACAAGCCTGGTCGTTTTTGACTTTTCTCATTATATTTTCTGCGTATATATTAAATAAGTATGGTGAGAGAATGCACCCCTGCCTCACTCCGATGTCTCACCAGCTGCTCTGATGGCTGCTAATTGTTCGTGATAAAGATTTTCAATTAAATCACTAAATGGACTGGTAACCCCCTATATAAATATATATATATATATATATATATATATATATATATATATATATATATATATATATATATATATATATATATATATATGCATATATACACGTGTGTGTGTGTGTTTGCGGTCGATATATTACACTTGGAACTATAACTTGTTTCTTTTCAGGATTCGACTTGATATTAGTTTAGCGGCATTTGATGACATCTATGTTCGGAAAACCCCGGTTCTCACATGACACCAAAGAGGACCGTAATGGACACGGCTGGAAAATGGGGGAAAGGACCAATGAAAAGAGAGAAGACATCAGGAGGAAGAATATCTTTGCAGGTAACGTCCAGCTCCCACTCTTTCTTGTTTTGTCTTTTCGTTCATTTGTCGTTTCCCAGTAGAGCGTCGTTTCTTTATTGTTTGCATGAGTACATTAAAAAAAAAAAAAAAACAGATGGAAAAACTTTGAGTTGTTGTTATTGATGACGTCGCTTTCTGTCTTTCCAGACGATAGTGACACTTCTTAGTGCGCCACCTTTCTTTCGCTTGAAATAGATCATCTACGAGTATATCTGCAGTCCTGTCTCTAGTATAAACTTCACTGTCTGTTCTAATTCTATCAGCGATCCGCATACGTTTTGCATGCACTGCTGTTTCTCCTGACTACAAGTTTTAGGACAGTCTTGCAGGACTTGATCGGTTGTCTCAGGTGCTAATCCACATGTGCACATGGCTGTTTCGCCAATCCCAAATTTTGTATAGTGACACTTCTTCTCCTTAAATTCCATGCCGTGTGGCGCTGGTAGTCACGTCTGTCCACAGCCTTCTGTGTCGTGTACATTCAATCAACTCTGGCCCAGATGATCTTCCCTTCCTTGATGTCAAACCGTCCAACATCTGTTCTCTCGGTCTCCCTCCGCCTCTCCTCTCCTCCAGATATCCTACAGTCATGATGTACTCCAGATACAGACAAGACAAGTTACAGCAAAATACTTTAAGTAGGCTGCAATTTCTTTCTGTGAGAGCAGTGCCCATACTAGGCGGGGTGTCCTATCAATTGTGCCTACTGATGCATCCTCTGCCAGGTGACACTATTAGCGATATAATGTCTTCTGAGGTAACCGGATAACCAGCCCATGGCGATGGCGAATGTGACCTGCAAGATCGGCCTCCGTTAAGAACAATTTTCCACGATTGGATCATGAGACATCAGGACCCATGCTGCCATCACATGTATTTGATGGGCATCTTCCTAGACACTCAGATGTCAACCTTTTCGTGTTCGTTCCCTCCCCCTCCCCCGACATCTTTAACCCATCTGTAACTCACCATAGTTAATGTCCTCAGGGACTCTCTAGTATCTGTTCTCCATTATTTAGGTGCAGCCTAACCACCTGAGCCTTCTGGGACAGAGCATTGAGAAAACGGTGTAGAGCCGTTGAAGCTGTAGAAACACAACATGTTTATCAAATATGTTAGTGTTTGAATATGCTCCGTCTGCGGCCCTTTTATGGGAAAATGAATTGAACCACCGCCATCTATCAGGCATACCTTAAATGTCAACTTATCAGCGGCTACGAACGAGCTTTCTGCATTCCAGTAAGCCAGATCTGTAAATCTAATGCGCGCATAAAATTCAAGCTTCTAAGCAAGACTATTGTCCAAAAATTGACTAATAATCATTTTTTTTTTCGCACGAGCATTCATAAGATAAACGCGAAGAAGAAGAAAAAGAAGAAGAAGAAGAAGAAGAAGAAGAAGAAGAAGAAGAAGAAGAAGAAGAAGAAGAAGAAAAAGAAGAAGAAGAAGAAGAAGAAGAAGAAGACAAAGAACAACAACAACAACAACAACAACAACAACAACAACAACAACAAGAAAAAGAAGAAGAAGACGACGAAGATAACGAAGAAGAAGAAGAAGAAGAAGAAGAAGAAGAAGAAGAAGAAGAAGAAGAAGAAGAAGAAGAAGAAGAAGAAGAAGAAGAAGAAGAAGAAGAAGAAGAAGAAGAAGAAGAAGAAGAAGAAGAAGAAGAAGAGGAAGAAGAAAAAGAAGAAGAAGAAGAAGAAGAAGAAGAAGAAGAAGAAGAAGAAGAAGAAGAAGAAGAAGAAGAAGAAGAAGAAGAAGAAGAAGAAGAAGAAGAAGAAGAAGAAGAAGAAGAAGAAGAAGAAGAAGAACAAGAACAAGAACAAAAACAAGAAGAAGAAGAAAAGGAAGAGATGTCGTTGGGAGTTCCCTGGAAAGTCCAGTAGGATATGGTCGTTTGGGTGTCAAATGAATACCGACTAACACTAACCTAACCGAGTCGGGGTGAATTAATTTAAAAATACCCTGCGCTCTTCCACCTTTCGTGAGTTAGCCTTCCCGTAACTTTTTTTTTTTTTTCAATTTAAATTTCGTATGCACATTATCTATACCCACGACCATCACAACTGATAACGATTATGTGAGCTTTTGTAGGCTTGTAGAAATATTAACTCAAAAGAAATTATTGTCACTCAAACACCATTGTAGGAGCTACAAGCTACAGACTGACGTAGCATGTATCACGTGGAGACTGCCGCCCTGACTGTGTTTGCGTGGACTCTGTTCTTGTGTCTGACCAGGTCCAACAAAACAGGTAATATCGCGTGTTGTATATTCCCGCATGTCAGCGCTTTTAAGGCTCCAAAAACATACAGGACTGGCCCAAACGCAAACCTTTTCACGAGAGTTATGCAACCTGCGTCACAGGCATTCGCTTTCTCAGAATGAAAATGTAGATGAAAGAAAACGCAGATATCTATTCGAGCAAACAGTACACCGGGACACCCACGTAACCTTCAGCAAATTGATGAGTTTAGCGAACTTTGAATGAAAAGTGACCTAACGCGTAAATGGGTTGAGCTAACACACATGGGACGTTTTTCGTAATGTTTACCGTACATTTACACACACACACACACACGCACACACACACACACACACACACTCACTAAAATCACGCAGAGCTACTGAATGGAACATATTTTGTAATAAAGTTGATATTCAAAATCTTCTTCCGGTTCACCAGCTGATGTGACTTACATGTATTCAGATTGTTGGCTCCTTGACTCTCAGACAGAAGCACTCCGATTTCGAAGGAATTGTACCTGTTTGACCTAGAGGCGGGAATTTAAACAAGATGTTGTTTCAGAAAATGAATCAAGAACTGGCATCATTGTACTCGGAGATATTCCCTCACATTCGTCTCCTTCCTGAGCAGCTTAAGAACTGTCACCATGTTAACAGAACCAGTTGCGCTAACTGGCTTAAATTCAACCCATGTTTCCATATGCTAAACATTGTCCATGTTCTCTGCTCAACACCTCCTAAAGTATTCAGTCAAGGTCAGGATACTCTGATTCGCTGCAATGGCCGCTTGTTCCCAGAGCGCTTTCATTCACTCAATTAGGTGCCGTCTCTATGGTGAAGGTTGACTGAAATAGATCTCTATCACCATCTGTCTCTTGTTCTAGTTGTACACTCTCTCAGACTGCTGCCCGCCCATCGTTTAATGTTGTCCTCCCGCTTGTACCGTTGCCTGCCTTTTGCTCTTTTGCCTTCGACCTTTCCCTCCAGGGTGGTTTTTAAAAATCTCGTATGTCTTTTAATGGGGACAAATTATTTCAATTGTGTTTCGTTCTGGAATTCTTTTTTCATGTGTAGCCTATCCTGGACCTCTGTGTTTGACTGCTTCTGACTCCATGAAAAATTATACATTCTTCTGTGTCTTCTTGCATACGGCTTTGGCCACACGATGGGCAACCGTCTTGGTTGACTGGCTAAACTACATGAGTGAAGTGGAAGTAATATCATAGGTTAGTTGCGTAACCTTTAAATGACGTTGCAGAACCAACCCCAGCAGCCCCTGGCTGTTAAGTGTGGTTTCTCTAGGCAAATTTACGTCCAGTAGTTTGCCATTGCTTTCCGGACGGTAGGCCCCCTGATACCACTGTCGAAACCAGCGCAAGGCTCACGGCCAGCAGCTGGTATCGAAACCGGCATCCCGGCATTACGAAGCGTTCGCATCGACTTAGCCACAGAGCCGACTGAGTTATATCATATTGCAAGGAAATGTCTTTCCGTAGAACACGAACACTGGAACGGTAAACAAGGCAGACGAATCTATAAAGATCAACATTTATAAAGAAAAACAGCAGAGTGCATGGCACACATGAGGCGTGTTCAGGACACAGTAGTGAACACGACAGGCGATCGTGGAAGAGATTGAGACCTTACCATGTATCACACTAAAGTTAGCAATAGTGCGCCGTCGCAGATAGTGCATCCTAACGTAAACCAACACATAGATAGGTGACATCAGCTAATCTCTCAGTGTACTAGATTTGATAACATGTCTTGTTTGTGGATCTACAGACTGTGAGTCCGGCTGGTTTGGCAGCGTGTGTCAGTTTAAATGTCGATGTATCAGTGACATGTGTGATGAGCACGGTCATTGTCCCGACGACGGGAAGTGTCAAGGAGGTTGGTTTGGCCCGGCTTGTCAATACGGTCAGTGGTCAATAATGTCATATCTTTCCAGCTTGTCTGTGTCTTCATTCTGTCGTTTCTGTGTAATGAAATGTTGAAAATAAACAGAGGGATTTGCTAGTTCTGCATAACTTGATGATAGTCTGACCCTTGCCAAGAATGTTGTCAAGGCAGTTTGGGAGCCATTGAACAGTTCAAAGGAACAGAAAGATCAACAAAGTCTGAAGACAATGGTGTAGCCAGGAGTGACATGGGATACGGCACTTAACATTCAGGGGAGGGACAACTCGGACATACAGTCAGACTCTACTGATACCATTAGAACTGGAACTCGCGACTAGCAGCTGATAGTGAGGACAGTGCGGTTAAAGGGATGCCCTTAGTTCTGTGTTGTCGGTTCTAAGCTCAACTGTATTATGTATCTTTTATGTCAGTGTGTGTGTATGCGCGCGCGCGTATATGCGCCTGTGTGTGTGTGTATGTGTGTGTGTGTGTGAGTAAGCGTGAGGGTGATACAACACGATATGTTTAAAATGCGTTTTCTCGTTTGTCTGTATTGTCTGTATGCCTTTATCGTCTTTTTACTTTATGTATATGTAAGTCTGTAGTTTCTGTCGAGATATAAAATTTAATGTTACTCCTGATATGTCTGTTCTCTTTGTTATCTTTAATATATCAGT